TGTCTGTCTGTCTGTCTATCTATCTGTCTGAATATGTGTCTGTCCACCTATCCATCTATTGTCTTCTCTATTTCTCCTATCAGGACGTTTTCCATCGTTTTGACAAAGATCAAAGTGGACTCATGAACCTCTTTGAGCTTCGCGATGCTCTCAGTGCGTTAGGTAAGACAGTTCCTATTTTTATTTTAGTTAAATTTTGCATTGATTTTTCTTTTCTTTATCCTTAGTTTTTTACGTGTGACTCTTTGCAAATCTTTCTTCTTTTGTAGGTTATCGACTCAGCAACACAGCTCTTAGTTCCATCCATGTGCAGTATCACAACAAGAAAGGAACCATCCCATTCGACATATTTATACAGATTTTAGTGCGGGTGATAATGATGTTTGGTAAGCTAAACCGACCGATTTCGCATTTTCATCGGAGTGCTGATATAAAAGAGTATTTATGGATTATTTTATCTGCTTCGCAGGAGAGAAAGTCTCTTGAAACTGATTGGTCAGTTTCGCCGTGATGTTATTGGCTGTTTCGACTTTGTGTTTAGGATTGGTCAGTTTAATACTGTTAGTCAATTGCGTCGGTTTTGCCTTGTGGTCGAAATTTGACTGTCGGTTTTGTTAAAATGAAAAAGTCAACCTCGAATTTGGACTTTTCACGAACCGTTATAGTCAATAAAATTGCAGCAAATCTAACGAATCAGTTCAAGAAAATAGTGTCCAAATGAAAAAAAGATGACCTTCATGTTAATAAATAAATGTTGCGTTTACGTATATGATGCAAGCGTATTAAAGCACAAGCCCAACATCAGAGGAACGCCTTGAATCTCACCGTTAACTGGCCACCAGAATCTGCTTATCTAAACGGGTGATCGTACCAGAGGGTTCATGAAAAGGGCATATAATTCATGAAGAATATTTCACGGATTGCTTGTCGAGCTAAAAGAAGTCTGCAAGCCGAGATCAAATAAATAAAAGATAAAGGTGTAGAACTGTTACTTTCCTCTTCAGTCGATCTAACAAAAGGGAAAACACTGATATCAGAACTCGGACGACACAAACCAAATAACGAAATTAAAGCCAGAAATCATTATAACATTATTCTGGCTTATATGTGCTAAAAAGATCCAACGAAATTAGAGGTTCTAGAGAGCTCCATGACAACAGTTAAGTCTCCGTAACCATGTTTAAGGGCCCTCGCCGCTAATAGGCCCTCCTGTCCGATAAAAACGTGTCCAACTTATTCCAAGTATTGACTGAAATTGTCTTATTATTATTAGGTAATATGTCACATACGAGACCGCCGAGACCGATGATACATCAGAATTTTTTCCTTCCGTACGTCCAAGAGTCAACTTAAAATATTTCTCGGCGACAGAAAAAAATCAGTGATGTTGTTATACTCACTTTGCAATCTATTTTGATCGAGGGAAAAAGAATGTGACTGAGAGTGAATAAACGAATATGCAAAATCGTAATTTAACGAACCTCCCAGTGCAGTTACTATGAATTCCCACAAAACTGTTAACCAATTGCGCCCTTCTGTTTCGTTTGAAGCCTATTTATTATTATATTACAGACAGAGAGAGAGAGGTGTTGATTGAGAGATGTTTAATTGTTTCTTTTACAGATTTTTCATTTAGTTCTTATGCACATGCTCTTTTTTAGAACCTCTTGACAGGGGAGTGGCTAGGATCGTGGACAGCAATACGCCACTTATTCCAGGGGAGGTAGGCTACTGTTAACTGGTAATGTATAAGGGGATTCTTTGATTGCAATTTTTGCCTCATTAATGTGAGCCATCCAGTTTCTGATCAAGCTATAAAAATATCATTCCTGGCATGATATTGAAAAGGTATAGCACGAGTAACAAAATTACTGTGCCAAGGAATTGGAGGTGATGTAGCAATTTAATACTTTTTAAGTTAAGCTCACCATCAACTCGATTGGCAATGAATCAAGTCTAGAAATACCCAAAGTTTGGACCGTCGAGCGTCTGAACATTTCCGACGCTATAGACACGGGTTAAAAAACTCAAAGCTTTACAAAGAATGCATGAACTTGTTACCACTTTTGTCATCCAGAAATTTTGCAGTTCTTGAAAGCTAATTTTTAATATTACACCCAATGCAAAGAGCTTAAGATTTCATCATCTACTAAGTTTTATTAGCTTTTTAACTGTCTGGTTCCAATTTACATCTAACATGATGTCCCCTTAACGGAAAGGCGTATGCTAGTAAGGCAAAATGTCAACAACTAACAGCAGCCAAGATCACCCTATATTGACGCAAAGAACGAAATTTAGGGCTAGTTTCAACTTCACACTTTTCTGCGCCATATTTGTATAGGACAAGGAGATGAAGGAGGCGGAGGAGGTGGTGCTGGTAGCGGAGAAGAAGAATCAGGAGAAAGAGGATCGGATGAGGTTGGCAACCTCGTCATTCTTGCTAGAGGAAGAGGAGGAGACGGACAAGGAGGAGGAGAAAAAAAGATCATCCTTCTTTCAGGAGGTACGTTGACTTATTGGGTCATGCGAATATCAAACTTGATTTAATTATGCTTCAGTGGCACAGCAACGCGGATAGCACAGTTGAAAGCGCGGCCGTTGAGCTTGAAGCTGGCGGAGTTTGACGGTAGTTCTGCATCGGCTAGTCAAGTTTGTATGTCTTTTTACGTTGGCAAAGATGTAGAATCATTGGTTAAATCATTTCTCATTTTTCTGACTTATTATATCGAAGAGCCCTAGCGGATCAATGACAAAGATGCAAGTAAACGTTGAGATGGACGACCTAACAAAGGAAAAGGACCATCCAACAATTAAATTTGTACAGCCCAATAGGAAAGGTTGGTGGATAGTCTGCATATTTCTAAGTTGCCTTAATTAACCCAGCACTGAAATGTTTTTATTTCTGTATCACGGCATTCACGAGTAAGAAATCATTGCCATCTGAGGTTAGGCTTCCAATTAAAAGAGTCAACATAATTAATTTATTAACGAGACAAATGGACGAATAAACAAAGACATGCCCTTCAAAAATTCCTGATAATATCATTTACCATGAAGTGACACAAACAAAAAACTGTAAAATAAAAAACTTAATTTAATTTGCAAATTTTCAGCTGAAAAATATCAAGTCTCATGAATGTTTTTAAAGTAGGTAACGATAATGGCGATGGCGAGGGCAATGGTGATAACAATGGCAAGGGCGACGCCGACGGTGATGGTGACGATGATGGCAACAGGAATGGTCATGCAAGAGCCCATGGCAATGCAAAGGGTAATTGTACTCAGTGATGAGGAATGTACCTATAAGTTCTTATGTGGCTGTTAGGCCGAGCATTTAAACATTTGAAACAAATATGCCAAATTTAAGTAACAAGGTAACGACAGTCTCTGTTCCTTGAACTATCCAAAACATTTCCACATAGAACATATCCTTGCTTCCAGGTTTGATTTTTTTGCGGAACAACAAACTCTGCCATTTTTTTCCCCGCGCTGCCGGCCAGCAAGCGCTACGGACCAGTGATGTAGCCGTTCGTTGGGAGGAGGATAAACAACCCTACTCCCAAAACGGCTGGAAATCGAGCCTAGCACTGAATTTAGCCATAGTTAGTCTCCCTTACTAACTATGATTTAGCCTGCGAAAACAGCCCCCTTCTTCACGCCACTCGGTCTGGGAGCGAAGAAGGACGGCTATTTTCGCAGGCTAAACTGAACTGGGTCCAAGGGATTTAACGGTGTGGGCGTTTAACGGAGGTTTTGTCAGCGTTAAGCGGCTAGACTGCGTAGCATCGGCTCTGACTTCCACTGATCACATGTTGATCCATCACCTCCGCAATGTTCCAGCACCCAGTCACACTCTAGGTTGGGGAGAGGCAATGTGACAGTGAACGCTGCATGGTGTTGCTCAAAACCACAACTGACGTAAGGACCACAGTGAGCCAGAGCTCAAACTCCGACTTCTCCAGTCGCGGATGTAGCGTAGACTACACAATCCATCTCTCTTATTTGTTCTCTTGCTTGCAGAAAATCTAATAAAAATCATAGAAAGAGGAAATATTGACGAGATCACTCAGGAACTGACACCAAAAGCAATGGCAAAGTGTGGCAGAAACGCGTTACTTGTTGCAATGGAGGTATGTTGAAGGAGTTTATCACAATGTCTGGATATGAACAGCGAACTCACTTTCAGTTTAACATCAAACTAGACAAAACATAAAAAATGAAACACATCTTTATTTAAGAAAAATCTTTACTACCTGGATTAGTGTTAACCAGCTTTCGAAAAATTCGGCCGTGGGTGAAGAGAGACGTACCGTGTGAGTTGGAGTAAAGTGTATTATACAATACGATGATCCGAATTAGGGCTCGAACCCAGAACCGCTCGATCCGGAAGCCAACGCTCCTCTACTGTACAAATAATACAGTAAAACACTTTGAATGCTTAATTATGAGGAAAGAGACGATGGTGCTTCCAAAAACAGCTGAATCCATGGATGTGTATTAGCATGCTAAATTGTGCAACTTTGAGTGACGAAACTTCAATTTTTTTTTTTTTTTTT